TCTCTCTCTCTCTCTCTCGTAAAAGGTACTGACCTGCGAAAGGTGGCACCTTGATGCAGGTACGGACGTGCTGAAGTCGAAGCTGGAGCAATGGCCACGCAGGTAAGTCTCAGGTAAGTCCCCTGGTCTCCATCACCATCTCTCCCCCCCTTGCACTACTCTAACTCTATCAGTGCCCAGCGCTGGAAGACTAGTCCTATCGTCGACTACTACCGTACTGCCGTCGTCTGAAGAATGCCCCACTCAATCCTCTACTCACTGCCGGACTGAGGCTGGACCCAGCTATATATGGGGATGGGGGCAGCTCGCGCTCAACTTCATCAACGTGGTGAGCCTTCTACGTGAGAGGCACGGTGAAAAGGGAGTCAAAAGAAGAATTAGTAAAATGAATGGTTTCACTGTGCCCTTCACGTTTGTCTTGTCTGTTTTTTTTTTTTTTTGCCGTTTGTTTCGCAAATTGCACTCTTTTAGTTCATCGTTATGTGACAATATATAGCGCTGGGTCGGCCTCAGCAGCTGAGTCTGGCGTCCAAACTGAGGCTGGGCCTCAAAAGTTTGGCGCCCAAACTGAGGCTGAGCTTCAACCGCCCAAGTGCCTGCTGAAATGGCACGGCCTCTGGGTCAGGGTCTGGCACCCAAAATGCGCGCCAGGGCCTGAATCCGAAACAAGGCCTACCGGGCCTCAAACTGGTACCGGTCGGCCTAACCTAACCTACAGACCCTAAGGGCCCTAATGCAGGCCGAAACGGCACCGATCTTACTCTACTAACCCCTAGCCTACCTGGTTGGGCCCTGCTGGGCCCGTGTGGAACTGAGTATGCCACATCGTGAGAATCGGAAATATGTGTGAGCCTTCCAGGCTCTTCCAGCAACGTGGTCGAAGCAGGGAACACTGCACGTTTGTGCCTGGGTGGTTGGGCATGCCTAACGAATTCGGTCCTAGACCGCTGTCTGAACAGGCCTGGGCGCACACACTTTGGCCCAACCTGAAGCTACGAGGCACGCGCGAGGCGGGCCAGGCAGCGAACCAGGCAGGCCATTTTGTATATAGCAAAGTGCCTGGCCGAGGCGAGGGGATTCGGGCGCTTGAAGGTGCAAGCGGCAGTGCTGCTGGAGCGAGGGCTCGCAGCTGCAAGCTTAGCGCTAGCGCAGGTGCAGAGCGCGCTGGGGCGTTCGGGTCGAGGGCGCTGCAAGAAGGCAGTGCCATAGTGGAGCCGCCATAGCCAGGGTCCAGCTTGGATAGTCAGCGGTGTTGGTGGTGGTTTTTGTGAAGCGGAAGACGTGGGTAGAGAAGAGAATAGAGAGAGAGGGGGGGGGGAGCCTACCAGAGAGAGAGAGAGGGGGGGGGGGGGGGGGGTACTCTGGGGGGGGGGGGGGGGGGGGGGGGGGGAGAGAGAGAGAGAGAGAGAGAGAGAGAGAGAGAGAGAGAGAGAGAGAGAGAGAGAGAGAGAGAGAGATGGGGACGGATGATGTGAGGGCACGTACCTGTTCCTGGCGATGGTCCACAAGGTCAACATCTTCATGTAATTCGGTTGTTGCTGCTGACATCAACAGGATGCATTATTCTGCTAGTAGGCTGTGTGATAGTAGTCTGGGTGCTGAGCGCCAAGTAGGAGGAAGGACTCTGGATACATATGTTGGTGGTGGCGAGAGTACGCTCTCATTGACATTCGGATTCGGTGCTTTGGTTCTCCATTGGTGGAATATCAGTGCATTTCTGCTTTCTGGACAGTGTTGCTCTTGCTGGCTTTCAATGCGATTTTTGCACTCTGGATTTCTGTCATTTCGCTACCGGTCATTTTCCTTGCACCTACTACTTTGGCCCTTGCACGGCTGGGCCGCCCGGGAAAACAAGGTCACCCAGGCGGCCCAGCTGATAGCCCAGGTTGGATCAGTATAAATCGGCTTGAGGCTGGGAATTCCCACAACTATTCCATAGGGAGAAATGGGAGGTCGCAATGCCTGGTCAGGTGTTTTGAGCTTCCACATCTGATAGCATCTGGATTCACACTAAGGTCTGTATTTCAACAGTTCACCGTTATACAACTGCGCTAGGGTCGTTGGTTGAGCTTCCTCATGACCAATTTCAAAAAACGTTTTTTGAAGTTCTGATGCTTTTTGAAGTTCTGACAAATGATGTCAGCAATGAAAGAAAAAAAAAAAACAACTTCAACCACCACTCCCGCTGCTTCATTTTCCCTTTCTCGGATGTTGGGCACTTGTCAGCTGTCTTTTCTTAAGTTTTTCAAAATATATATATATATATATCTATATATATATTATTTTAAAGCACTAGTACCTTTGTCGGTTCAGAAAATAGTAGGCCTCCGACCTTTGAGGAGGCCGAAACGAAACGACGGCCGCCGATCAGATTTGTCAACGGCAGCCGTTGTCGGGCCCGGCCTCCTAAGAGTTCGGGACTAGGCTAAAACTTGTCGAAATCGGACGGCAAAGGTACTACCTTCTTCCCCCGAATACAGCGTACGGTCATTATAGCTGTATTTAGACTGAAAGATGCCCCAAATATAGCTATAATGACCGTAGGGGGAAGAATGTAGTGGTTTAAAAAGCTGTAGTTTTATTACATAAAAACCTGGGAATTGTAGTACGACGATGATCCCCTCAAGGACACCGCCCTTTCGTTTGGGGACAAAACGTACCTGCGCCCAGTCAGTTCGGCGATGATCCCCTCAAGGACATCGCCCTTTTCTTTTGAGGACAAAAAAAAAAAGAAAAAAAAACTTCAAATTTCTAAAATAGGAAAACGAGGATGGTTCTTCTCGATGTCCATACCTTCTCAAGATTGCGTCAACCAGAGAACTCCTTCGTCTCAGATCTTCAGGACTCCTCTGCGGTGGCCAAGGAAGAGAAAATATACGCATCATTAGCGAGAGGCGGCAAGCCATGACGGGTGAGGTTGTAAAGCAATCTTCTCGATTTGATTTTCACCCCTTCCCTTCTATGCCACCCATCTTCTCCTTTCTATTCCGCTTGCTCTCCTCCTCCCCCCCCTCCTCTTCTTCTCCACCTTGTTCTCCTCAACTTGGGACCCCTCCTGTTCAGCTCCTCTTCCCACCTCCTTAGTCACATATCTTCTACCTCATTGTCGTCCCTCTGCTGCGCTCCTCCCTCTCTCCTCTTCACCTCCACCTCATCCTTGACTCTTCCTTTCCGAAGTTGCTGCCCATGTCACCCCTCTTCTAACCCCTCTTCTCCACAATCTTTATTAAACCTCTTCTTCTTTCTGTTCCCCTCCTTCGTTTTCTCCTGCACCTCATCCTCCTTGGCTCAGTTACCCTCCTCCTTCCTATTCACCCTTTGCTTGCCCCCATTGGGGATAAAGAGCATTCCATTTTTGAAATTTTTGGCCACCCTACGCTCAAAGTCAGGATGAGTTAGCTCTCTTTTTTTGGGGGGGGTGGGCGGGGGGAGGATGAGTTACCTTATGGAAAGTAATGCTGCAAGTTGTAAAAGCCTGCGATCGCACACGCACATGCTGATCTTCCCCAACTTCAAGGTACGCCAAGGCAGTCCCAAGCACCTGACCATGTACATCAGGAATCATTAGCCATAAGCCACACAACGGATTCCCAGTGTGCCACATGTGAATAATTGAACCAATTCGTCCTTCTGTTTACTCCATGCCGAACTACGCACTTTACCAGCACACCCATGACCTGTTGATAAACAGACCTCAGCTTGAATCCAAATGGAATCAGATGAGTAAAATAATTAAAATCGCTCTGAATTTGCTTGGGATCGCTCAGTTTGACGGTCATACCTCAAGGCCATCAGGAAAATGTAAAAAAACAAAAACAAGTATGAACCTGGCTGCATGCGGTGGCAAGGGGGAGGGGGAGCTGCTTAGCAAGTTAGCACAGTTTGGAGCAAACAGGACATCAGTAAAAACAAGTACGGACCTGGTCATACCTCAAGGCCATCAGTAAAAGGAAAAAATTAAAAAACAAGTCTGAGCCACCGGACCATCGCATCATGACCAGCAAAGGTGCGAGAAAACTTATTCAAAGTTATTTGAAGTTATTTCATTTTTCTATTTAATTGAAAGCAGCGTACTGGTGCACACCAAACTCTAGAATAATTTCTTTTCCAATGAGCAGATCACAACTTCAAACTTTCGAATGCTGTAGTGAGGAACAGCAGCGAGGGTTAGTCCATAGAAACAAAATCAGGGTGGGGTGGGGTTGGG